GTTGGGAGGTAGTCTCTCACTTCCTAGAATACTTAGTGTTTACAAGTTTTGCCACCCAAATCTTTGTTTTCTGATGTCCTTTCTCCCTCTGCACCATAAAAGCAATGATGTGCATGTAAATATGTGGGAAAGAAGCGGGCAGGGGAGAGAGTCCTGCAAATGTGTATTTTACATCAAGCGATTTCTGTCATCGAAGACATGGATTGGAGCTTTCGGAAAGCACCTTTATGGTGGCTCCTTTCCCCTTCCTGGCCCATATGGTATGAATATCCAGCAGTGCTCCTTTTTACTCCTTTTTCCTACAGGGCAAACACTCCTGTCTTCCTTTCCTTCCCTGCAAGTACTTTGTGGGTCTGAGGAAAGATCAAATGCTCTTTATTTTCTATCTCCATTTTGTCACCACTTCAAAAGTGAGATTCTGTCAGCTTTTCTCATCTTTACTCTCGTAACTGTTGTAGCAACCAGAACATGATCATTAAAATCTCACTAAGGAAGGTTTGACTCTTCACTGTGTACACAGCTACAAAACTGTAAAACACCAGTTCTTACAAAAGTTTAACCACCAACATGCAAAGGAAGTTTAACAGAAGTGTCACCTGGACACTTCTGAATGATTTCAAACAGGAAGCACATTCACTTTTACTAATAAACATGCACCATTTATGTATCACATGATCATGTTCATGCAAAAGAGAAATGTCTGTGAGATTTCAAGTCACTGCCCACAAACCACATATACAAAACTGAAGGAGATTTATGTTGACACTCTTAACAAGTAAGGAACAGGATCTGTCTCCTGAGGGAAAGAAGACAAGACTTTGCATGACTTGACATGAGCAGCAAGTCCTGTGTATATAGTTGGAAGATGTTTTTCAGCAAAGACTTTCTAGACAAGGAGTCTGCTCTTCCCCATCAGAGCTGCCTGAGACTTCCTGTGTGCAGAAGAGAGACAATAAGCAACAGGTCTGTTCTCAGTAACTGATTAGTTCTGCAGCTCTTATCACTCTCCTCCTTCCTAAATTGCTATGCCAGATATTACACAGCTGAAAAGCTAATGACTGGTGAGAACTGTAGCAGAGAGACAATGAGCATTCATGTCCCATTACAGAGGAGAGCAAAAACAGCAGGTGGTTATGTAACTTCTCTTAAAAGCAGAAAAAATACAGTTTACCAAAGCAAAAACAATCCACTCCCAAAACCAGAAAATTAAAACTAATAAAACACTTTCCAAAACTACTATGCTTCCCCAAACCACTGGAAATAGTGAACAAGAAATTTCTATTCAAGCATAATGATTTTAATGTACCTGTGAAAAGAAAAATTTGTCTTCAGAAGGAAATCTGTCTTCAGATTTTAGAGGTATCTCATGAAGTTGATGGAGGCAATGTGCAATCTGTAGCAAAACTAGTGATCGTGTTTTGTAGACATATGGCTTGGTAAACACATGAAAATCTGAGAAATCGTAATTAAGTTATGAAGTAAAGCTGGCAGAGCTAACTGCTGTTAGCATTAGGTATTATATAATCTTGAAGTGAAAGGTCTGCTTGTAAAAAAGTTATTTTCAGACCCTGTAGGGCTCAATTACACAAAGCACTGTAAATACAAGTTAGTTTGTTGAACACAGACATTATGACACATGCAGTGATACTTAACTTTATTTCATATTTTACTAGCATATTTTTAATATTTATCCATACTATTATTCATAAGTGGCCAATTTGTCACGTGTTGTTGCCTAAGCTGTACCTACAAAAGTTCCATACACTGCTGTACAGCCAAAGCTTAAACAGATGATAACTCACACACATAGACATACAACTAAACCGGTAGTTGCTGGTGTGTGCTCATTCCCAAACATTCTTGTAAGATGCAACAAAGACTCCACATTTTAAAGTAATGATTCATGACAATTTGTTGCCATTAATGCAATATTTTTTAAGTCTTGAGTGACACACAAGAATAAGCTTGCTAAAGGATAGGAGCCCTCTGCACACAACTCAGATGCACAGGCATACAATTTCATAAGAAAATAAAATTCTTAAAAGATCAGTAAGGACATAGAAAAAGCGTGAAGCTCTCTGAGGAATACAAAACTGAGGAACATGGATTTTAAACAGGAGGAATTTAGAATGAGTCTGTGATAGCAACTCTCTCTTTTCTAAAATATAGTACAAGGTAGATGAATCAATAGAATGACTGAGGCATGATACTTTCTCTTTGGGTGCTCCAAAGGCAAAAGTCAATGTCATCAGGAAAATCATTCATGTATGAAACTTGAGCACACAAGTATCAGGTGACTTGAAAGTACTTCTCATCGCTTTGTCAAAACCACATTAATAATCCGTGACTCAGAGGTGTGAGGTTGCCTTTTCTTTTTTTTTTTTTTTAAGATTGTACTACTTAATACTTGAAGTCCTGGCTAAAGACAATGATCTACCACCTGCAAGTGATCAGGACAGGCAATAATTGTCTCACCATAGCAGTTGGTGAAAGAAGGCAGCTGCACAATTCTTATAGCAATATCAAAAGTAATACAATGTGTTCAATGGCACACGGAGCAAGGACTGTGAAAAGGACCTCAGAGAACCAATAAGAAGGACATAATTTTGTCATCTGTGATGAAGATAAATTTTGCAATCACAGTTCTGGATACACTTAAACTGACATTCATACATGTAACATCTGCTTCTGCATGATAACTTTCTACACACAACATTAATTTTATGGTTGCATCTTTACAGTACCATGCCACTTTCCACTTCCTGAGACAGAAAGGACATTAGTGCAAAACAAGAGTCAGTAACAAGGAATATGCAAGTCTGAAGAACCTTAAGCAGCACCAATGAAGTACTCAGTAATGACCAGGAAAACCTAAGGCATGAGGACTTGGGATTAGTTTTTTTTTATTTGATAAGATATTGGCCAAGAGCAAATACATATTTTAGGAAAGTCATTTACATCACTATAATTTAAAAGAGGAGTAAAGGCACACTGAAGTAAGAATACCAACTAAAATTGAGGTGCTTAGTATTTGAACACCTGGATATAGCCTCTAAGTGTAGATTAAAGAATTGCCTCTTGAAGGATGAAACACCATTAGACAAACTCAGGATATTTTTGCCTGCCATTCTAATAAAAAATCAAATGCCATTATTTGTTTCCAAATCCTCTTACGTAAGTGTCAACTGCTAAAGTGACTATTACAGTGATATCATGGGCATCCAGCATCTTCTCACAAACAGCAGTTTTCTATAACCATGTTTAGTCAGCATACACCTTCTTAAATGTCTGCAAAACCACTGGACAATCAGGGCTTTTTCAGAGAACAGGTTCACTTAAGCCTGATAGCCAGAGTAATTTGTAACACAGAACTTTGTACAGGTGAATGTCTGGACTTCGGCAGTTTTTCAGTATTTGGTTGTATCTTGTTTATTTTCTATCTGAAAGAATTATCCTAAGGACAAGGAAGAGGATTGGAATCCATCCTTTTCACGTGGAAACACGTTTCATATTTCTAAAGGCTGTGAGATCATTTCAAGCTGCGATCTGATACATAGCCACGTTTGCTGCAGGAAAATACTGTAAAAGAGCTAAATATTGTTAATTTAAAAGATGGTGGTATTTAACTACTATGCTATAGCATATTCTAGAGGAAACTCACCAGCAAATATTTCTGTTAATTGGATATAGTAACAACAATCTGTCTGACTACAATGAAACACAACATTCAAACTTACATAATACATACATTTGAAACTAGTGTTCTCCAGTGAGCATGTAGCAATGATAAGTCTGCAGTTTCCAAAAATGCATTTCATTTTTTAGAGTTTTAAGTGCGGCACAGTAGTCTTACAAGCAGCAAACTGTCCACAGTGGTGGTAACTGCCTAGCAGGAACACAGTGTGGGTACCTGGCTGACACAAAGTGAATTCTGAATAATGAATGCAAGTATTTCACAGGAGAGGTGAACAAGTAATTGTTAAAGTTAACTCCATGTGAACTGCAAATTTAACTACTAATTCTAACAAGCTAAGTACATGGACAATCTAATTCACACTGTTCCTGCTCCATTGTGTTGAAACTCCAAAGAATGAACAAAATGTTCATGTGACTCCTATAAAATTAAATTAGGACATACTCCCATGAAAATGAACATACTTTGTCAGCTGTTTTCTATTTCATATTAACTGACCACAACAAAGCAAACAGAAGAGGTTGTATTGCCCAGCTTCTGAAACAATTAGCTCACTACATCTCAAGTAAGAGCCACTGTTAGCTTTTGTTTGTTTGGCTTCATTTTTATTAGGAAGAATGCAGTTAGCCTCATTTAAGACGGCTAAGGTGTTCGTGCCATTCTTTGTAGTGACTTGGTCTCAGAGACAGGTGTTGAATGTGATTTTTAAAATACCAAGGAATAAACAAATACATGGAAAACCTTGTTCTACAAAATGCATTCACACTGATCTTCCAGTAAAATCCCTTTTTGTCAATGGGATTAAATTAGCTGAGAATCTTTCCTAGCTGACCTTCAAATAATGTCCCTTTTTGTCAATGGAATTAAATTAGCAGAGTTCTTCCTAGCATTAGAATTGAAAGAAAGAAATACAAGTAAAGGGAAGCAAGAGAAACAACATACCTAGCAGTCAGTTTTCACTACTGAGTAACTGCAGTTACTACTTAGTAAAATAGTGCTATGTGTAGAATATTTATTTCCTCTTCTGTTCCTTTCAATGCACAATCAAAAAAAAAAAAAAAAAAGATTTTTTGGAAACAGAAAGCTTAACTAGTAACTTTTCTTACATTATATCTTGCACAGGGCTTATGCACAGTTCCTTGAGCTTGTGATCCTTTCTCAGTATGACATGCACATTCTTAATGGTGTGCTCTTAATGGAAATTACTAGATATTTTTCCATACTCCTGAATCAGTATCACTCCTTTTTCCACATGTTTGATAATAAATATTGGCAGTGTTTGGCAGGAATCAGGTAAGTGACTCACCTTCATCTAAAGGAACTTCTTCCTCTTCACAGGGAGGAGGAAGGAGGGGCTGTAGAGGTTCCATGTTGATTATGAGTTGCTTGTTCAAAGAGGGAGAGCTGCGACTCTGGGTAATGCTGGTTCTAAAAGAACAAAGAAAGCTGTGGCAGTTTATTCACAAGGAAGCAACTACAGTCCAATATGCCTCATCTCAGAATCATTTTGCATAAATTACACTAGCCCTTGAGCTATCATAAGAAGCTCTCCACCCTGAACACTGCTTTTAGCCATCTTATGTTGCACCCTCAGCAGATACAAACCTTTCAACATCCCAAGTGTAAGAGATGGTTTTGTGGTGGTCTAATTCCCTTTACATAGCCTGACTCCTTTTCGTCTTACGCAAGGCTTCAGCGTGTTGCTGCTCTCCATACTGCACAGCACATAGTAGTATTTGGCTTCAAGGAAATGGAAGGTAGAGAGGATACAAATAATTTTTGTGATGTTGTTCCATTGCTTCCAGGACTGGGCAAAGGATTTGTTATGGTTTGAGCACTGCAGACTAAAGCAGGAACAACTGTATCCCTTCAGTTAACAGACACACAGGCCTCTCCTTCCCATGTACCCCAGACACTGCCTCTACATCATGCCCCCAGGGGCTCAGGCTGGTTTTCCTTCTTGTCTTACTTGACTCTAACAGGCTTTCACATGTTAAACTTTCTCATGAAAGCTTGAGGAATGCTGTTTATTCGCTTCAGTCATGAGGCTCATTAGCATAAAATCATATTACTAAGAATATAAAATGGCTCTTTAGGATAAGTTATCTAACACTTACATGATACAGGCCTGAAGCAAAAGTCCTGCAATAGATCTGAACCATTACATTATAAAATACTTGTTTTTGACAAAAGTAAAAATGAAAGGAAAGAACATTCTACTAGACTTAAAATGGTACACAGGTACAGTGCTAAGTTTCACAAAATGCATTTCAAGTTTAAACAAAGACTCAGCTTGCAATTCGTCATAGACAAACAAACTGAACAGAACACCTGTTGCAAGTGAAAAGAAGGGACTGTGAGTTGCTGAGGGTTTAGGTAAACTTAGGACACAGATGTCCCACTGTCAGACCCATTAAATGTCATTAAATATTGTCAATTGCCATGATTCCTTGCTCATTAACTTATGCCAAATGCTACTTGTCACCTCGTTTGCATTTTGTGAGCATTCTTTAATAAATGTTTCGCTTAAATTTTCATTATCCAAAGATGTTTTCCATTCAGATTACTGTAATTACAATCACTCCAACCCAACAGTACTTCACAGGCTTGTTATGCATCCCCTAGATCTTTGTGCCTGCTCTAAAGAGCTACGAAACAACTCCTACAATCAGAGTTGTGCCTGGGAGAACAAATAAGACTCCTGCTTCATACTTATTTACAAAGATCCCTCCTTCAGGCATGCCTTGGAAGCAAAACAAGAAATCTTTCATTGTGTATTTGTCAGTAGAACTTGGCACTGCATTAATGCTGCATAACTACACATTCCCAACAGATTTTCTGTCTGTAGAGCTTTAAGTGTAATAATCAGATACAAAGATACTCAAGAATAACCTCACAACTGCACGTTTCTTTCTCACTGAAGTCATGATACTACTGAGCCAACTTTGAGTGTGGGGCACCGGGAGAGAAAACTTTGTATACTTAAATATATATTTATTTTCAATCGTATAATTTCCTCTAAATGTATTGCATCTGAAAAAAACTACCATTTTCTAATTCCAAATCCTCTTTCACAGAGTTATTAGTTTCTAAAGCCTGCCTTCTTTGAAGATGAAAAATTTCTATGCTTTCTGCCTACTTGTGCTATTGGAACGACAAGCTATCTGCTTCTGTCTCTCATTTCAAAAGCTGCACTATACAAACGTCTGAAATCACTAGACACTTTCTTAGTCTACAAAACTGAATGTGGAGCTACCTTAACATTGTAAAGCAAGTAATTTAAGAAATCTAATAATAAAAAATATGCATTAAGGGTGATAAAACCATATGACATCGCTCTATAAACTTTTTTGTCCTCTGATGTGTTTATATACACTAAGAGTTTTAAACAATACCTTTAAAATACTTTAAATACTGAAAACAAAGGAAAGTAAAATACAAGATTAAAAAAAAAATAAAAAGTTTTTATATGAAAATCTTCTATTACCCTGTGGAAAAAAAGAAACCCTGGAAAGCAGACAGTAAGACATTTCCCTATGTGAGTAACATTTTCATTTAAAATGCATTTGTGTGCCAAAGTATTCTACCCTACCTCAAAAAGGGACTGATATTCTGCCTTCTGTGTTCCCAGTTAACACATTCTAGACTGTCACTCAACTCATTTTTCAAGTGTTATCTACAAAAGCACATTCAAAAGCATCCCTGCATGGCCTTACAATTAATTAAATTGTAGGGCTGAACAACGTATTTATAAATATTTGCTAAAAAGATATTCCCACCGTTTATTAAGACAATATAATTTCTCTCAACTGTAGATGGAATAGCTGTATTCGATTAAAAATAAACCAAACATACAATCCCCCATCCATGAAAAAATTCACAATAAAAATAGAGATATGGCTGTAGAATGTTCAGAAAGCTAACTATCCTTTCAAAAAAAGTTTTCAATGGCATGTTCCTGCTAGCCTCTTTCTCCTCTTCTGAAGGACATTAATTATGTTCTTACCAATTTTTACTGTCACTGCAATGAGTGACCAGAAAGCATTAGTTTGTTTGCAAAACCTACCTGCTTAATTAAAAAAAAAATAAAGTTCACTATTTTTTTTTTCTTTTTATTAGATGAGCTTCTTGCTTTTTAGTCTGACTGTGATATGGATAAACTACCAAGTATACTTTTAAGAATATCCATATATATACACAAACCAGAATCTTGCAAAACAGGGTGAGAACCAGGAATGAAATAAGAATGCACTTTTTTGTCAGGAACGTACAGTAACAGTCTGTATCATAACACAGAAAAGAATATAAGATACTTATCTGACAGTTTGATTAAACCTGGCTTTGAAGCAGCACAGATTAAGTTCCCATGTGTAGGAGACAATACACTATTGTCAGAATTTTGTAGCACTGGCAATACGTATTTCCCAACGCTTGCATGCCTCATTGTGGAAGGTTAGAATGACAGCCATAGCACCTCACAGTAAAGGAAAGACATTGTTCTGTGTGGAAAACAATAATCGCCCTTAGTCCTTAAACTTTAATATTGAATGTGAAGACATACCTGTGGACTTCAGGAGGTTCCCTCTGGATTTTAGAGCTTGCCTCCACTACCTCTTTGGCTACTTTTCCACTGCATTAAAACGTGAAATAAATATTCAAGTAAATACTTAGAGGATGTCATTACATGCCAAAACTCTATACACATAAAAAGATACATTCAAAGGAAGGATATGTAATGTCCCAGATTAAAAACTTGGCTGACCATTTGTCTACAAAGCTACTACAGAAAAAGCCACTTTCTGTAGTATAATGGACTGGTCTGTCCCACTAGATACACCCCTGGTCTGATGTTGTTTATATACACTAAGAGTTTTAAGCAATATCTTTAAAATACTTTTGCCTAGTTACAGGGGGCATATAATTTCTGCACTAGCCACACATCCTTATTTTTACAGAAAATGCACCAAAAATGGAGCCCTGTTCTGGTGAAACTGCTCTTTGACAGAAGTCTGCATGAAGCCTCCAGTTTAGTTTATAAGTGATGCTAAGGAGACAACAGAAAATCTTCCAAATCCTGAACTGAATTAGGTGTGGACAGGTGCTTAGGAATGTAAACCCCTCAATTCATCATGAGTAATTACTGATGTTTTCTCTTACTTTCTGAAATAGTTTACTATGCAACAGAAACAGCAAATACCCACCTGTATCGAAATCTGCTGCCTTTAAAAAATATCTTGCTGCTGGACATGGTCTTGATCTGACTGGATTTTGCATACCTTGAAGAAAAAGAACAAAAGCTGTCACACTTTCAGCACAGAAGGAACCTGATAAGCAAAAATGAACAAGGCACACAACAAGCTTTGTTATTTTTATGCCACAAAGTAATATTCACTAATCGGGCTTTCCAACTTTAAGGCCTTTCTACAAATTAGAATATAAAGTGCACATTAACTTGCATGTTTTCTGCTTGCATTTTGTATTCTGTTAATGAAATATAACATTTCACATCAAACAATTTTCTACTCAAGTGCACATTGATTTACTTTTAGTAAAAACTTTAGGCTTACATACTTGTAAAAAGCCTGGTTCTCCACTCCACATTTCCAAAGATGCTTGCAGGCTGCTGGTGTAGAGGTATGGAATGACAGCACAGCCTTTTTCTAAGTGTAAGGAAAAGAAGGCAAATAAAAGTAATTAAAATGTTAAATTCTCAAAGATTGAAGTAGCTGTACCCGACGGTATCACCATAAACCAGATACACTGAAGACAAAGTTTTCCTTTGTAGCCTCCATCTGCGGTTCACCCATGGCATATACATAGCTGATATTTAAACTGCTCAGAGAACTGTTTCAGAAATAAAAGGGGATGCTTGGAAGGGGCAGGGAAGAACATAGGTACAAGCGGCTTGTAGAATAAATCTTTACCAGTTGTATTCAGGCCAAAACCAGAGGAGGAAAAAACTCTCTATCTTCAAATTTCAACATTGCACAGTTGCTGCACTACCTACCATTCACTTCTCCCTGTTCCCTATGTCCTACCACAAAATACTCCTTGCAACCACATGACTAGCCCTGATACCTCTAGCTTTATTTCCTTCCACCATTTTCTATTCCTCACCTAGACTGCATTCAAAGCCATAATCAGGGCTTCCCCCTGCCTTAGGGGAGGACTGACTGTAGCATGCTGTAGGCAAAAAAATATGATTTCAGTGGTAAGAGCCCAATGACAGGACTCCTAACTACCTAGGAAAGACTCCAGCCCATTCAGCTGACTAAGATTTGAGGAGACGATCATAAAATACCTCACATTGATCTAAGTATCAATGCTTATGTGAGTTTTCAATCACATACAGATGTCATTCATGCTTTAGAGTGGATGGGTAAAGCTCTAGTGCTTTAAAATCTATTAAAACTTGCTACATAGATTGAAACCAGAAACAATCAACACAGAACTGCATGAATGTCAAGTGAGAAACATCTCAGCTCTCTGCAAATTAGACATTCTTTTGACAATATTCACTCATACTCTTTTTTAATTACGATATGAGGTACAATAATTGATTGTGTACACATTTGTTTAGTTAAATGCTTATGTTTTAGTTGATTCTCAATCAAGTACAGAAGTTTTGTAAAAATATTAAACCTGACCTCCTTCTGAGCTCCAAACACATAAAAAGTCTTCCCTTCAAATTTCAGTTTATAGACATCACACCTAGAAAGAGAAAAATCTTTTATGTGTAGGAAAAATAGATAGAGCCACAAGTAAGAAAGCAACTTGCATGCAAGTTTCTCTGATTCCCAAAGTCAAGCAGGCTATCAAACGACAAAAAAGCCTCAAAAGGGTCTTACAATCTTTAGCATTAAAGTGTTTAATATTCTCATCTTCTTTAAAGTAGAGAAAATGAGCCCAGAGAATTTCTTTTACATTCCTATGCACATCAAAAAATTAACTGTCTGCTGGAAAATAAAGAGGAAATTAAAAGTAGTAGAAGCTTATGTTTACATTTATTTATTACACAGTTTACAATTTGTATCTTAAAATCTTGGAACTTCTAATGTAATTAAACTGAGGGAAAGAAGAATGTTATCTCTATTCTTATGTATTTGTGATTTCATATCACACATCTTAGTAACTAGCTACTTGCAGAATACAACAGGAAGAAAAAGAAAATGTTTGACAGAACTTATTACTGGGGCCTTCTGAGTTGCAAACCTACATCAAAATGTAATTTAACGAGGCTAAAAGTACAATACGGAATAGTGGTGCATCACATAATGGTTATACAACACCTCTGCCTAACTGTAATGAAAAGTTTGTCATTACCACAGCTAAAATGGAGACACTGTAGTTTTTCATAAACTTCAGTAAATATTTTTGATGTCAGATGTTTGAAAAGGGAACAATTCTGGAGGCAAGGACAATGCTCTCTCTTGAATCTTCATAACATGAGTTTTGCTTTAACATTAAATAACAACAAAATCATTCCAGTTGAGAAAGCGTTTCCACTGAAAAAAGCCTCTCAAATAGGAATTAGGATTTTTACTGCACAGTGCAAATATCAGCCAGTATCAGTTAAAACTACTATCACTCACTTCTAGGCCTCAGAAATAAGAGGAGCAGTACACAGTGTTCAGATGAATCTCACCACATCCATCTTCCAATGGCCAGCTTAACACTAAGATAGATTAATGGCTTTCCCTCTATCACTATTTAATGTGAATAGACTAAGTGAATACACCAAGATCTCCAAAAGGATGTTATCCTTAAGTAACATGAAAAACTAAGTGCTGTGAAACTCAATTTCCACAGTGTGAAAAACCTTACCATTTCTTCACCTCCTGCCCCTCTTCTGCCCACAAGACAGGTTGGGAGCACTGAGGTGGAGCAGCCACATTTAGGTAACTGCTGTTGGTATCTATCTAACAGCAGAGCTAAAATCAGATTTATTGATATCAGCATGTCTGTGCTCACTCTGCACCACATTGCTGAGGGCATGGCCAGCTGCTGTTACAGCTACTACAGCACTTGGGGGAGCTTGGTTTTACCTCTCTCTCAAATGTGGTTGAGACTGTCCAGTTAAGCCAAATGTTTTACAGGAGCAGAAAAGAAAATCCAGGCAAACCAAAAACAACTGCATAAGTGTCCACTTCTTAAAAAAAAATTAAATTCAAAGACATTGTCACCTCCACTTCCTCTGTTTACCAAATGAGCTCTTTTATAAGTTTCCAAATTTAGGTTAATTAGCTGAGGAAACATCAGTAACATTAGCAACACTTCCAAGAGATAAGTAAAGGTGCAGGTGGACTCTTGTAAAATCTTCCAGACATCTCTACCAATAAGCCTTACTGGTGATTTACAGCATAGCTCAAAAATCAGCTTCCTCAGTTTTATGATTTGTGTGCTACTTGACTAATATACCCTGTGGAATAATTTTCACTGGAGGAATAATTGCTGTCAGAAATACATTGTTAAAAACTTTTAGGCTGAACAAGAATATAACGAACTGGTCTGAAAACAACAAGAATGGAAGGCCCTTAAGACTAAAGGACGGGATAATCTCAAAGGTTAAAATAATCAGAAACAAGACACAATAATTAAGAGCAGTATATAAACAGACAGTAAAACTCTATCAACTTTTTTAGATAATGACTCATTATGGCTTGTTCACATAAAGCAGAGACAGATTTGGACAAACATCAAAACATCAAGGTTTCTACGTAAGTTGTGGTGATTTTACTACTAAAAAACACACCTCCAGGATGAGAATTTAAATGTAAACATAGGGCCACCTAGTATAATTAATCAGGTAAGTATAATGAATTAGGTAATTGATACAGCATGTATATAGAGTTTTATGTGATGTAAACTCATGTAACTAATCATATACAAATTATTTGTTATTTGTACTGTATATAAACTGCTGTTTGAGCTAATGTTTTGCTGGATTTGTAATTTATCACCTATCAATCATTTTTGCAGAGTCAAAATAAAGCAAGTACCTTGACTCTGTGTGTTGATTGGCTTTGCACA